CTGGGCTCCCCTCTCACCCAGCCCTGGCTGTCCATTTGGCAGCAGCTGGGTAACCTGTGCCCCCTCACTGCTAGGTGTAGAGAGTGGATTCCTCACATCTGTTCAATACCTGACTCTTTCTTTTCTGCTTCTTCCTATTTTAGAATCACTGAAGAATTTCTCACATTCTACGCCACCAGAGGCTGCTGGGCATAGGTAAGTGTCCCCTCCCAGAGAATTACTTTTTAACAACTCATTAACGCAGGCAGCTCTGTGGCTCAGCAGCATTTAAATCCCAAGTATTTAATCTTATTGCCACACACCCTTCTTCCACCCAAACTCAGTTCCCAGCAGTCAGCTGAGAGTCTTGTCTTTTGAATATTTGTTGCAGCCTGGTGTGTAGTGAGTGGAGGGAACAGACTCCCCTATACCCTGGAGGGGCATCTCTTGGTGGTGGGTCAGAAATAAGTGCCCCAGATTCTGATCCCAGCTGGCAGCTCTTCCCATGCCCTCTGGCATCCTGTCCTGCCTGCTGCTGTGTCTTCCTGGTAAATCACTTGTGTTTGTGGTCACAGAGACTGTTGCTGCCTTGGCAGGGACGAAGGTGATACTTTCCCCAAATTTAAATTACTTGAAACCTGCGCTCATGCACAACCCAGACAAAATTAAGGGAGGTGCATACACAACTGGCATAAGAATGGAGAGAAGGAGCTAAGATATTTCATTCTGGATCAATGATAAAAATCTGCTTGGGATGGAAACAAGTTTAAGTACACATTGTAGCAGAGTAGAAACTATGATGAGTGGAACGGTGAACACATTTTACAGTAAAAATAATACACTGACAATAAATATGGTCAGTTCCTCCTGTTAGTATGCAATAATTAGTGCTGGGCATTCTTCATTTAGTGAGGATGAGGGAAATGTTATTTTATTAAGCTTCCTTTAGGAGTGCAAAGTTACTGGTGTAATTTCTGAACAGGTACATCCACCTATGCCTCTTTAACCCACACTGTTTGTGTGTATCTTTAGGAGTCTGCTCTGAGGGTCTCTCAGCCCCTCAGTGTCTGGTCTGGCAGTTGTGACCCATCCTGATCCATCCCCAACACCAAAAGCCAGGGCGAAATATGAGGATGTTAGAGTCTGGTGAAAAAAATCCAGTTCTTACTTGTTGTCTATACTATAAAGTAATTCTTTTTAAAAAAATTTATTTATTTATTTTTAGAGAGAGGGGAAGGGAAGCAGAAAGGAGGGACAGAAACATCAGTGCATGGTTGCCTTTGACACGTCCCCTACTGGGGACCTGGTCTGCAACCGAGGCTTGTGCCCTGACTGGGAATTGAACCAGTGACCCTTTGGTTCACAGCCCAGGCTCAATCCACTGAGCCACACCAGCCAGGGCTACTATGGAGTAATTCTTAAATGCCTTAGTATTGCATACAAAAGTCTCCATGATGTAGCCATTGACACTAGTTACAGTCTCTCTCTCTCTCACTCTCGCTCTCTCTCTGTCCCTTTTCACTCTTTCGTCCATTCCTACTTTGCCCACTCACACAGCAATCAGGCCATACTGAGACGCTTCCTGAAAACGCCAGGCTGTTGCATAGCTCTATTCATATGCCTGCAATGCCTTGTCCTCCCATTTATTTATATTTCAAGACTTGATCCAATGCTTGTCTTGTCTCTGATACATTTACCAAGCATTTCTATATGCTCATTTCTGTTTTGCCTGTCTGATGGACTATGTATCTCTGTTACATATTTTAGGTTGGCCAAAAAGTTCTTTTTATCTTTTCTGTACAATGGCTCTAGTAGTGCTTAGTTGTCTTTCACTTCATTCGATAGAATTTTCTTAGATTGTATTGTGACAGCTGTCATATCAGCATGCATTTTTAAAAAAATGTATCAAAATTGGTGAATTTTTGTGCAGCCATTTTGATATTGAAGATGGAAGGAAGTATGTGACATTTTTGGTGTATTATACTTTATTATTTGAAGAAAGGTAAAAATGCAACTGAAATGCAAAAAAAGACTTGTGCTGTGTATGGAGAAAGAGCTTTGACCGGTCAAATATGTCAAAAGTGGTTTGCAAAGTGTCTTGGTACTATTTGGCTAAATAACTCTTTGCTGTGGGGCTGTGTTAGGCACTGGCAGCACCCCTGGCCTCTACCCACTAGAAGTGAATAGCAGGAGATAGACCACACACTTGAAAAATAAAACAATAATGTTATTGGTGAAAATTAAAAAGGTGTCTTTTATTTTATGGAAAATAACTAAATGAACTTTTTGACTAACTAAACACTTTATATATATAATATATTTTATATATTTATATAAAGTTATATATTTTATGTACATCCATGAAAAGATATTATGTTAATATAAAGATATATACTTATATAAAGATACATTTTATATATCTATGACTAAATTAAATATTTTACATAAATTTATTAATATATAATTAGATAAATATAATGAATATGCATCAAATTATACTATATAAATCAATATGTAAATATATAAATATACTATATAAACAAGTTATATTATATAAACATAATATAATATATAATTAAACTATACTATATTATATGAATAAATGTTTATATGCTTATATATTAAAATATATTTTAAATATGTATTTATAAATATGCACTGATATATTTATAAATGTACATTATATATTTACATAATATATAGTATATGTATACTATAATATAATATATAACATAATAAATTTATATGTAACACATAAATAGATGTATGAATAAATATATATAAGTATACATAAATTTATACATGATCCCAAGTTAACTTGGGATTATCTATAATAGTATGTGCCTAAGATGAAATTTCAATAGGATTAGATAATATTTCCTAAAATAGTCAGAAATTTTAAGTGTATAAAAAGGTGGTGAGTCCCAGGCCTGCCACCTGGCACCCTCACGCGGCGTCCCGGTAGTTAAGGGTGTGCTTGCCCAGACAGACAGATCTCAGCTTTGTTGTAATTCTGATCTCACCACTCTCTCCCTCAGAAATGCAATCTAAATCACAGAGTCTTCTGTGAAATCGGGGCAACAATTCCTCATTAGTAGTGTTTTGTGGGGTTAGTGGGATATTGTGTGAAAGGTACTTGGCAAACTTCCCAGCCCTGAGTAAGTAATCAATACCTTAATGTTGGAGAATTTTCTGGACTGATTGCTTAGGCTTCATGTCAAAACTAATCGAACTGTAACTCTCCCAAATTCCTGCCCTTTGCCATGTCCTCAGCTATAAGGGAAATGCCTGGAAACCTCCCAAGTTTCCCCCCTATTAGCACATGGCATCATAGCTGTGTCATAAGCACATGCATGAGATTCCTGTTTGATTTCTCTTTTTCCTTTACTTCCATATTCCACTCATTGATTACTGTGAGAGATTCTCCTAATACATACCTTAAATCCACCCACCTCTCTGAAACCACGCTAGTGGTCAAGGTCACTGTCACCTCCTCTGATTAGCCTCCAGCCAGTGTCATGACCTCCCACTCTTGCTTCCATGGAGTCTTTTGCGATGACAGAGCCGTCTCTCCAGAGCATGAATCTTACCGTGCCCCTCTTCAGCTTCCATCCCTCACTTGCCTCGCATTGTGTGAAAACCCTTTTCAGATCCCTCATTTTGACCCAGGGCGCCGTGCACATGCTGGCGGGGGCCTGTCAAACTGTGCCTCTCAGCCCCGCCCAGCCCAGCCCCGCCCAGCCCAGTCCAGCCCAGCCCAGCCCAGCCCAGCCCAGCCCAGCTCAACTCAGCTCAGCCCAGCTCAACTCTCCCAAGGTCGAGGAACCTGGTACCCTTCCCTGCCCAATGCCACGGCCTCATTGGTTAGAGGCCTTTGCTGATCGCACTAGTATCATTTTCTGTTTTTCAACCTTCATAGAAAATGTCTCATATTTCACTGTGTATTTCTGTCTTTGTTTGCTTATTTGAAAAAAATCTCCACCCAGGGACTCTGGCCCCGCCTGCCAGGACTGAAAGCTTCCTGCGGGGAAGCCCCTATGTCTCCTGCTCACTGCTCCGCCGGGTGCCTAGTGCTATTCTCCTCCCGCTTCCAGCCCAGACCTAGCTTCTTAATGCCTGTGTTGGGCTACGAGTCCCTTTCGCCCTGATTGTTATTTATCGTTCATGCAATATAAAGTTGCATTTACACGATTTCACTTGGGTTTGATCCACAATGACATAAGCTGAATGGATATTAATATTTCCACTTACAGAAGCGGAAATGGGATTTTGGAAAGAACCATATTTCAAGGTCACACAGGGTGGGGCAGAAGTAGGCTTACAGTTATGGGTACGTGAAACGGTTTGTTCTTGTATGGTTATTTATTAGTTATTGTATTATTTTCCATACAAACAGCTGTAAACCTAACTTGCCCCACCTCGTGTGGCAGATGAAGGGCAGACGTGGTCCAGATGTTCCACGAGCCCCTCGCAGACGTGAACAGCTGCAGTCCCTCTCTGCAGATGGAGAGGAAAGGTGGGGCGCTAGTGGGTGAGGGGTGATGGGTTGTGAAGAAGAACTTACAGAGCTCTGAGTAGTGACAGGCAAGGAAACTCAGGTACGTTCTTTGGGACTGGTGATGGGAACATGTGCATGGAGGCCCGATACTGTTTAATGTGGTTGTGAAGGACAATGTAGGACATTAGACGGAACATGGACTTTTGACTTAGGCGTGAATGTGATTCCTGCCCGCTACCAGTGGGAACTCGGTAAGTTCCTTAATGCGTACCGCTCCAAGACTCTGTGTCTTCATCACTGGAGTGGATGTAATAACATATGCAAAGAGGCTATGTGAGAATTAAATTGTATTAGGTACATAATGTACCCAGCGTATGGTCTAGCTTATAATATATTTTCACTAGATGATACCTCTTACGGTCATGGCTAGTTGGAGAAGGGAAAGCATGGAAGATTCTAACTGGACCATGGCGCCTGACTGTGTGATTTCTCCCCCAGCAGAGCTAAGCCCTGTGTCTCCAATATGGAAGTGCAGAACCAGACACGGGTCACCCAGTTCATTCTGGTGGGGTTCCCGGGGAGCTGGGGCGCTCGTGCAGCCATGTTCCTGATGTTCCTCGTGGCCTATATTTTGACCGTGGCTGAAAACGCCATCATCATCCTGCTGGTGCAGCAGAACCGGCCACTGCACAAGCCTATGTACTTCTTTCTGGCCAACCTGTCCTTCCTGGAGACCTGGTACATCTCCGTGACCGTACCCAAGTTGCTGTTCAGTTTCTGGTCTGTGCGCAGCAGCATCTCCTTCACGCACTGCATGATACAGCTTTACTTCTTCATCGCGCTCATGTGCACAGAGTGTGTGCTGCTGGCCGCCATGGCCTATGACCGTTACGTGGCCATCTGCCGCCCACTGCACTACCACACCGCTATGAGCCACGGGCTCTGCTTCCGCCTGGCTCTTGCCTCCTGGGCCATAGGCTTTGGCATCTCCTTGGCCAAGATCTACTTCATCTCTCGTCTCGACTTCTGCGGCCCCAACGTCATCAATCACTTCTTCTGTGACATCTCTCCAGTGCTCAACCTCTCCTGCACCGACATGTCCCTGGCCGAGTTGGTGGACTTCATCCTGGCGCTGGTCATCTTCCTCTTCCCCCTGTCTGTCACTGTCCTGTCTTATGGCTGCATCCTGGCCACTGTTCTACGCATGCCCACGGGAAAGCAGAAAGCCTTCTCTACGTGCGCCTCCCACCTCGTGGTGGTCACCGTCTTCTACTCGGCCACGATTTTCATGTACGCCCGGCCCCGAGCCATCCACGCCTTCAACATGAACAAAGTTATTTCCATCTTCTATGCCATCGTCACCCCTGCTCTCAACCCTTTCATTTATTGCCTGAGGAACCGAGAGGTCAAGGAGGCTCTGAAGAAACTGCTCTACTGCCTGGCCATGTGCTCCGAGTCGTCTCTTACAAATGATTAGAAGGAAACACAGGATCTGGTGTGCGGCCTGCCCTTCCATCCCCAGTCCTTTCTCCTTTAACGCCTCAGCTGGGTGGGGCTCCTGTGAACAGGGCGTCAGCACATCCCCAGCAACCACAGGCTCCTGCTCACCTCCTGAGGCCTGCCTCCGAGCATGTATGCTGTGCTCTGTGGGAATAACCCTTGTGTAGAGAATTCTCTTTGGCTGCGCCCCAACGATGAGGTTTCTAGGCTGTGAGTAAATACTAAGCTGAGTTAGGCGGGGAGAGAGGTGGCAGCCTATGGGTTAGCTTTTTGCGGATACAGCTCGTATAAGGGCTTCGAGACCCACAGACTGGTGCTGGCTTCCTGAGCTCCCGGCTTCCAGACTGAGCGTGGGGGCGTGGCTTCCCCACAATTTCATTCTGGATGGTGAGCTGGGGGTCAGTCGTGGTGGCAGAGAGTGTAGACTGCTCTGCTAGGCCTTCCACCGTGTTTTGTCAGCACCTGATTCCCCATACTAGATACCTTCCTGTTTCCAATGGCGATAGCGCTTTCTGTTATCTGTGCGTGACATGTACCTTATACAATTGAATCCCGTGTTCTGATATCACTTATACAGTTGCTTTGTGTTTGGCTTCCACCCTTCCCTTCTAGATGTCACAACAGGTTTGTTGGCATCCTCTAGTGGATGAGCACAAAACAGATGACAAGTAAAATCATCAAATGTACTGTTGTGGAGTGAAACTTGCCTCCCGCAGTCATCTTTTCTTCTGAACTCGGTGTTCTCGCTCCTCGCCAGTTTTCTTCCCCTTCTCCGTTCTCCCCTCCTTCACCACACACAGCACGCACAGCGATGAGGTTGTTTTCGGAACTGACAGATTTTCATTCTATGCCCCAGTGAGTCTGGATTCCCCTCTGTGTTTGTCTGACACCCTGCTGGGCACACTAGTCCTTTCTGATCACACGCGCCCAAACACTCCATATGCCTGCCCTCTCCTGGTTCAGACTTCTGCCAATGGCCAAGGGAGCTGGGCTTTGCACTGTATCCCATAAAACAAGCGCTTGTCGGTGGGATTTTAAACCTCTCATTAGAAGAGTTTAACGTAAGATGGCATTGGCATTTGCCACTTTTTTTTAGCTAAGAACAAATATTTTCAAAAATATTTTCTCTTTCTTTTGAAGTAAGAGGCATTTGGTGGGATTCTTTGCTGCATTTTATAAACTCCCAGAACAGAAGCTTAGGGAAGTTCACCATGTCCAGGCACAGACAGTGGGGAGCAGTGTCGAAAGCCCAGGTCTCCTGACTCTGAGCCCGGGTCCTCTCTTAGCTCATGGATCTCCTTAGAGCGCAAACACGCTTCTTCCACAGGCCGAGTGTGGAAACTAATCGTGCAAGGGCTGTGGCTGGAGTCCTCAGTGACTGCATCTGGAGGACTGTTGATAAAATAAACACAGACAAATATGAAGTGCAGGCCTCAGGGAAGAAAAGAAGCAAAGGTAAAATGCAAGCCTACCTCACTTTAGAGAATAAATATTAAAAAAGGTTAGGAATACATTGCCATTTAAAACCCATGCATATAAAGAAAAGGGATTATTTTCTGAGACAATTCATATGAATCAAAACATAATGGCAAAGCCCTACAGGTCTACGCAGTGCGTGCATGGAAAGCAGGCAAGTCATCTTCAGCAGGAATAAGGCCTAGAAACAACCAACTGGTTGTCGCACAATCTGAGTTTCAGTCCCAGATGTACTTTTATCAGGTGGCCTGGGACAAACCATGTCAACCTGCTGAGACACTAATTCTTTGCAAGCAAAATGGGAATAAAAATGCGTGCTCTGCCTCCCTCATGTAATGGTTATATGGACCAATGGACATGATGCAAAACATCTCGATTGTTGCCAAGACCTGGGCTAGTGCAAGGTCAGAGCAGGCTGGAGCTCAGGTGGTGCCTGCGTGGGGGAGCCAGCTGGGAAGGGCCCGGGTCTGTCTGCAACCAGCCCACACCGACCGAGCTCCGCAGAGGTGACCTGGGAGACTCCACGTCTAGGGGCTGTTTGTCTCCTGATTCTTTCCCATAAGTGTCCGGGCGAGGGAGTGTGTGAAAGTAATATTTCTCCACAAATTATAATAAATTGTGTTTCGAAGAGCAGAAGGGAATCAGTAATGTCACCTCAGCCTCTTTGTGAGAGGAATGCCTGCACCATGGGCTAAACAGAGCAGAGGGTCAGACCCGTGTGGGGAATCCACGGAGAGAAGACTGGAGGCGGTGCGATGGGCACGCGCTCACGGAAGACAGCTCCTTGCAAGGCGGGGCACGTAGCGTGGGGCCGAGGGTCTGAGCCAGCCTTCTCCGGTTAGGTAGCCGTGACATAGGTTCCCGTAGTTTTAGCAGACTGCCCGGAGAGTAAGCCTTCAGGATTTAGTTATCACCAAGCTCAAAGAAGTTAATAAAATAAAATAAAAATATGTTAATTACACATATAGTATGTTTTCTGAGTGACCATATTAACCAATTCATGCAGCTCCTATTTATTGAGTATGTGGTACACATTAGGCACCATTTTCAGTGGTAGGGATACATTAATAACACGACACACAGACTTGTCACCCTCAGAGCAGAGAGTGTATTTGTACATACCTAGTGCATACATACATACATACATGCCTAGTATGGTGGGTTGCATGGTGGCTCCCCAGAGGCTGTGTCTACATCCTCCACTTGGAACTTGTGGTTGGGAACTTATCTGAAAAGTGATTAAGTTAAGGATCTTGAAATGAGACTGTCTTGGAGTATCTTAGTGGGCATTAAATCCAATGGCAAGTTCCTTAGAGGTGAGACAAGGGGGCATTGGGAAGATGTTCTAATTCTGCAGCCTAGGTAGAGGCTGAACCAAAGTCGATATGGCTTACTGGACTGTAAGAAGTTCACCAGGTCTATATAGAACTCTGGTATCTTACCTGGTACTCCTTTCCTGACTGACTATATAAATTTCTGTTCCTAAATGCTGTTGGAACAATCTCTTCTGTTTTCCTGCTGTTAATCTTACTAGCAGGTTAGATAAATAGTGGCTCATGTTCATCCTTTATTTGTCAGAGACTAGACTGCGGCAGTGGGCGGAGCGGGAGGGGCAGTGGGTGGGGCGGGGCAGGTGTTGCAGAAGCACCGTGGTGAGGACTCATTGTCGCTGAGGAGTGCTTCCTAACAGTGTCTGGCCAGGCCTGAAACGGCAGCATGTCACACAGAGCCTGGAGGACAGGAAGCAGCCAGACTGTCACAGTGTAGTGACTGAAAAACACAGACTCTGGGGCTGAGTATATGCCAAGTTTAACCTTTCTGTGCCTGGGTTTCCTCCTATGTAAAGTGAGGCTAATATCCCACTGCATTGTTTTGAAGATTGCATGAGTAAATACAGGTAAACTACTTAGATTATTGCTTGGAAGAGATTAAGTGTTTGATAAAGTCCATTTTATTTTTATTTGGGGCAAGAGTTTTGAAAGCAGAACAGATATTGTGCGTAGAATCTTAATCTACAGTGAGAACTAGGGTAGCACGTCTAGGAAGCAGGCTAATGATGCCGGGAGAACAATGAAACCTGTAGTGTAATGGCCCCTATATAGACACATACACTAAGGACATGTGTACGTGAGGAAGTAACTAATGGGATGTTCTTTGTGATGTTGTTTACAAGAGAACAATGGAAAAAATAGAACTGCCGCATTAAAAACAAACCAAAACAGCAGACTTGGGTAGATTAAAATGTGGCACGTCCTCATGAAGGAAAATGGTGTAGCTAGAAAAAAAGGCATAGAAGTGGCTCATAAAATATTACTGGGAAGAAAATGGGGTTTACAATAAGGAATCCCGAAAATGACCTGCAGTGTGAGCCCATGAAAATACATGCACGTATAGCATAAACGCGCTTCCATGAAAGCAGAAGGGAAGAGGGAGGAAGCACTGGTAAGTTCAGAGAATCATGGGAGAAAGTAGGGTCAGATATTAATCAGGTGAAGGTTTAATAGGCCAACAGCGTTGGAGAGAACCGAGGCAGGTTTCTGCGGGCCCTGCTGGCTCTCACGTTTTCCTGAGGACCTTGCATCAAGGCAGAAGAACCCTCAGTGGTTAAATATACACACTTCCCCTTTTGTTCGCTGTCAGATTTTCTGAGCTCCAGGAGGATCTATGTGGATTGTCCCGGCTGTGACCGCACAAGTACACACACAGGGGAAACAAGCCCCATTGAAATCTGAAACGTAGCTAGTTTCAGATCCTGATGTTCGACAGAGCGTGCCCATGGCGGCTGGGGTTTATTTGATGTGAAAAATCACGAAGCATCCAGGGGCAAGGCAAAGCTTCTGGATCAGATCAACGTCATCAACCTGGCCTTGTGCTGTGAAGGTTGTCATGGCAACAGCAGGGCTCAGCACCCAGAGCCAGCCAAAGCAGCTGTGATCACTCTGCATAAAACATGTTTACCATTTGGAGCGTTCTGCTTATGTTTAGACTGAGGCTTGGTGTGCTGAAGCTATGGGGTCACTCAGAATCAAATGAGAAAAAAATGGCAAGCATAGTTAGAAATTGAAGAAATGTTTGTCTCGGAGTGGATGGATTGCATGTTTTCTGCATCTCTGCCTTCTTCCACCGGTCCTCTGACTCCTTTCTCACTTACCTCATATTTTCTGTCCAATAGATGTTTTATTGCTGTTTCTAAGATAGAGCAATTCCTTCCTAAATTAAAATGCTAATGTGCTCTCGTCTACTCGTCTTTAAGACACTTTGTCTCCATCGTCTGCAAGGATGGGGTCCTTCCCTTGGTCATAGGTGCACGGTGACGTGTTCCCCCTCCACTTCCCCCTCCGTTTCCCCCTCTGCACCTGCTTCCCCAGGGCAGCGCCTGGTCCTCTGCTGGCTTTTGACGTTCTTCATCTTCCTGTCACATCTCAAGTACAACATGGCCTCCCTGTCTTGTTTAGATGCGTTTCTGGGCTTGAAACCTTCCTCTGTCGTCAGTGATGTGAT